TTTATTACATTGAGACCTGGGACAAGTGCCACGTGAAATTTATTTTTCCTTGTGTAGTGTCTGCAGTTCAGAGCTTACAAATTCTTCCTACCTTATAAAACCTACCAACAACCTATCTACTTTTCTTCTTTCCATTCTTCCTTCTCTCTTTCCTCCTACCCACCCATCCATCCTAGGCTTTGTTCCAAAAAGGAATTCAGGAGACTTAAAGCACTATTGTCATGGCTTTGTGGTAAGGCATACCACATGATTCTATCTCTGTCACTAAGCACATAGCCAAGCGACCAGTTACCTCGCCTCTCTGAGTCTGTTTCTCTTCTATAGATTGAAGATAATGACAACTTCTTCATAAGATGCAAGAGAATTCCATGATCTATACATAAAGCCCCTATAACTGTGCCTACCACATACTAAGGACATTGTGTTATCTCCTTTAATCCTATAACAATCATTTCACAAAGGAGAATCTCAGGTACCAAGGAAGTGAAGTTGCTTGTCCACGGTCTTAGACCCTCAACTCCAGAGTTTAACCCCTTTAGTAACTTGGCCAATACTCCAGGAATCAAATCTGTCTCCCGGGTGGATAATGTGACCCTATTTTACAGGGAGGAATGAGATGAAGTGTCTGAAGCAAGTATCACAGAGTAAGTGCTCAATAAATGGTAATTTTAATTAAGTCAAGATCAGGTCTGATTCCTGCACTCACTGCTTAGAGCCTGCAGGGTGGGCGGCCTCCATTCTCCAGTTATGTGCTTCACAGGGAAGCTCTGAGCCAGGATTCTGAATTTTTACTATCTTATCTACACTTCTGTTCCAGGAAAAATAGGAACACGCTGACCATTTAGTCAATGAACATTTGTTTTGGTTTAATGACATTTAAACTGGGGTTTTGCATAGAATTTAATGATAAAAGCAATGCAAGGTTAATGTATTATAGACAACTTGGTGGAGGAGGGGGATAGGAAAACATTTACATTCTATTACTTTGGTGCCCACAGAGAAGCACCATTGACATTTGGGCATTTTCCCTTTTATTTATTTATTTATTTATTTATTTATTTATTTATTTTAAATATGTTTTTATTGGTTTCAAAGAGAGGAGAGAGAGAGAGAAAGAGGGAGAGACAGAAATATCAATGATGAGAGCGAATCATTGATCAGCTGCCTCCTGCATGCCAACCCAGTCATGTGCCCTGACCTGGATAGAACTGTGATTTCCTGGTTCATAGGTCAATGCTCAGCCATTTCTCTTTTTAATCATTTCATATAGGTGAGTGGCTTCTCATCACATCTTAGATAACTATAAAGTCTTAAAGTGTTAGAAAAGGAAGGGCTGTTAGCACGGCCATCACAATAATGTAAGTCCCATCTTATAAGTGGCCTGTGACTGTGCGGTGCACAGCCTTCACAGACTGTAAACTCTTACCACTTACCTGAGCGGTCCTGACCTTTACTCCTCCCCATATGGAAGGAGGATCACATGCTTTTCAAACAGTGGCGCATGGGCAGTCATAGTCCTGGAACGGACAGGGAGGAAGGGCTGGGCCATTCTTTAGGGGAGCAGATCATAAAGCCTGGAGGAAGAATGTTTCTTTTCCAGAAGTGATCTAGAAAGAAACCTAGGTGATTTAATATGCACTCTGCCCTGATGGCGCATCACTAATCTTGTCTTATGTTATGTAGAGGGAACTGAGGCTCAGAGAAAAGAGACTTACCCAGTCACATAGCTAGTAAGGGGCCAGTGGTCAGGCGGAACTTGACCACAGGACAATCCCTAACATAGGCTAGTCCTAAAGAATGGAGTCAGAAAGATGTGGGTTCAAGTCTCAACTCTTTCACTTATTAGTTTTTTACTTTTAACAAATCACTTAATCCCTCCGAGTATCCGTCTGTTCATCAGTAAAAGAGGTAACAACTTCCTTATTAGGTTTAAATGAGAAGAAAAACTTTCCTAAAAATTATTAAGTGCTCTGTGTCAGGTGCTGCACAAGGCAACTCATATACATTATCTCTTTTAATCTCCACAATAATCCTATGAGGGGGATACTATTTTTATATCCATTTTTACAGGTGAGAAAACTGAGGCTCAAAAAGATGTATCTGCCTAGTATCACACAGCAGTTGAGCTGGAATTTAAACCCAGGTCTGTCAGTTTTGGAGCAATACAATCAGGTAACATGGTAAGTTTTCAGCACAGTGCTTATAACATGCAAACACAAAACAACGAGAGCCATCCCTATTTACTGTTATTCCTGTGAATATAATTATTATGTCACATGCGATTGGCTCGCCTCTGCTTTCAATCTCTTTAGCCAGGAATCCAAGAACTGGGCCGATCCACAAGGTAGAAGAGATGCCAACCCAGCCCAGCCCTATCCCAGACCACCAGTCCCTCCATCCTGTCCGGGGCGCCTTCTGGAGCATTCCCGCATGTGGAGACACAGAAACCCTCTGCTCCGTGATCTGGGCCTCTGCTGATCTCTGCAGATGGGTGCAGGCGATTAAAGGGGCGAGATCCAGAGGGAGAGGGAGAGGACCCATTTAAAAAGCCCAGCGAGCACAGACACGCCACCTGAATCCCAGTCTCCACCTGAGCCCAGCCAGTATGAGTCACCCCCAGAGCCCTTTACCTGTGAATTGCAACACGCTGACAGAAACTCCGCAGCCTCCCAGGTGGGCAGACAGGTAAACAGACAAGTGTGCCATCCCCTGAGCTACAGTGAGCGCTGCACTTACTGTTTAGCGCCAAAGAACACCTCTACGATGCAGGTGGACACCCAGGCTTTGCTCTCAGATCACTAGCTCTACCATCTCCAGGCTCATCTCGAGTAACTGATAACCACGTGGTGCTTCATTTCCCTCATTTCTAAAATAAGGACAATAAAAGTGCCTATCTCAAAGGGCACTTTTGAGGCATGTTGTAAGGATGAAATGAGACAACAGAGGAGGCTCAGCACAATAGGGTATATTGAGCACCTACTGTATACCAGACAGTGCTGTAGGCCCTGGAGATTCAACAGTGGACAAGACAGACAAGGTCCTTGCTCTTATGGAGGGCACATTCCAGAAGAGGAAAGACAATAAACACTCAGAAAACTATCAAAAAGTCCTGTGGGCTTTGCAGAGAGCCAGAGTAAAGGGAAGAGATACGGTGACTACATGTCTACGTTAATCAGGGTGGGTGGAGAGGCCTGCTCTGAGGAGGCGGCTTTATTAGCAACTGTAATTACTATTTACTATATTTGTCAGTTCCCTAAGGCTGCCCCCAGCTCAGCCTCCAGTGAGGAACCCACCTCTGACAGTTTTCAAACCTGGGACCCCCCTCTCCAGAGACCCGACCCCACCCCACGAGGGCTCCTTTGGATTCTGACTTTACCCTGAACACCTCCATCAAATTGGCAGGAGTGACTGAAACCTCGCCTTTCCCCGAGAGAAAGGAGTGGGCCAAGGTAAAGCTCTCAGGAAGGCAAAGCAAAGAAATGATTTGCCAACAGAGAAGGGGGGTGGGGGAGCCAGAAGGAGAGAAAAGGGGGGAAAAGATGCCAAGATCTTTGGCTTACATTTAATTTCCAATTAATCCTGGTGTAAGCTCTGAAAAAAGCTCTAGCATTCTCCTGTGTGTGTTTGTGGATCTTCCGGGTTTACCAACCTTGTTCTTTACGGAGACAGCTCACGGTGATTATTCCCCAGTTACTTAGTCTAACAGGAGTCTGATTTCTCCTGTTTCCCGTGCGGAATGCAGCACTTATTAGAATTTGTGACATGACCAGCTTGCTAAGGCTTTGGAGGTGGCTGACTTCAACTTTTCCATCCCTTCTGTGCCGGCCAGAGGTATGTGGTTTGCTTACATCTCATTCAGATCTGTATCACAGCAAATAAAAGGTTGCTACCCACCCTACTCTCCCACCCCATGCCACCCACACATATACACACCCCAGATTGTAAACTCAGAGCACTCATCCTGTCTTTTTAGCCTATGTCTCCCCGGACCCGGAGTAGGGCATGGTACACAACAGGTACTCAGTGAATGTCTGTTAAATGGAGGCCACCAGCCAGACTTGGAATAAGGTGCCTGATTCAAATCTGGGCTCTGACAACTCACTAGCCCAGTGGTCGGCAAATTGTGGCTCTCGAGCCACATGTGGCTCAGCCAAGCCACAGTTTGCCACACTGTTGACTAATGAGTTGCCTTAGGGAAAAACACTTAAAAAACATTTTAATAATGTTCTAATGTCTTTAACTTGAAATCAAAACTTCTGGGTAAGGGTAATGCCTTACGAAGTGGTCGGCAAACTCATGTGGCTCGAGAGCCGCAGTTTGCCGACCATTGCACTAGCCCGTGCCCTTGGGCAAATCACTTCACCTCTCTGGCCTCCATTTCCTCACTTATAAAGATGACAATAATGGGGGCGGGGGGGGGGGGGGGGCGTTTACACAGAGATCCACCAGGTAGAAGATCTCTCTCCTTTGAGAATTCCCCTCGGGTTGTAAAGTATGATGCTGGGAGAGGAGGGGGCGAGAGAATTTGGGGGAGATGTTCCTGTCCTGGGTATCTAGAATACAAAACGAGAAACAGGAACTGAAATTTCCTTCAGCCAAGTATCTGTTTGTCACTGTACTTTTCCTCTAGCTATCTTCTTTCCAACATTTTTCCCCTCCCTCTCTCCTCCCCCATCCGCACTCCCCGCCCCCTCACCAAGGAAGGAATGGCCAGCTCCACCCAGCCGGCCCCCCTGGCTCCGCCCCCGGCTCGGCAGGCCAAGAGTTAACAGCTGCACCTGTTGAGGTATACCCGCTGTCGCCGGCACCTGTGCCTGCAGCCAATCAGCACCGGCGCTGCCAGGAACCTACCTGTCAGCAAAATCCCGACACTCCAACCTCAACATAAATCAAACACTTCCCTGGCCAGGGAATGTCTGTGTCAGGCAAGGAATAGAGTCAAGAGCAGGCAGCGGAGTCTCGGGTGCCGGTGCCTGTCGTTGGAGCCTGGGAGCAGGAAGATGTCCAATGAACTTGAGTGAGTAAACACCGGTGGATGCCTGGCGCTCTCTGAGCGTGGAGGCTGGATGGGATTTCCAGAAGGGGAGAGAGCAGCGAGGCCGCCGGCGCCAGGATTCACAGAGCAATTTGTAAGGGTAAATGAATGGGCTGAGGATCTCACGTTGGCGTGTAGAGGCAAGCACCGTCTCGAGTGAGAGCTGAGTGTTTCCCTGGGAAAATAGTTTTGTGTTGTTCTCTCTCTCTCTCTCTCTCTCTCTCTCTCTCTCTCTCTCTCTCTCTCGAGCAGTTTCGAACCAGGTAGGGAAACACAAGACTGAAACCGACGGCTTTCAGCTCCACTTTTTGATACTCTGAAGGGGCCCTGGAAATCAGAGCTAGCCCCAATTCCTCCTCCGCTTTCTATCTTCTTGCCAAAAGAAACTTCTCTGAGGAGGTTCTCCGAGCTGTCTTAGGCAGAGAGCAGGGTTTCTCCAAAGGGACTTGTTTGTTGGGTTGGAACAGTCTCAAGTGGGAAGGTTACAGTGTGATGGTTCAGCATACCCACTCTGTAGTCTGCTTGACCCATGTTCGAATCCACGGTCTGCTCCTCATGGGTTGTATGATCTTGGACAAGTCATTTAACTTATCCGAGCTTCCTTTTCCTCATCTGAAAAATGGGTACAATAGTGCTTTGTTGGGTTCTGAAGAGAGTTAAGTGGGCTAGAGGCTGTAAAATGCTTAGCAAAGAACCGAGGTCTGAAGATGCACTCGATAAAATGCGGTTGATTTTATTCGGAGGCAGTTCTAAGGCTGAGGGAGCTGCGATGTGGTTTTCGGTGAAGTCATCTCTATTAACCGGCGGGATTCTGGTGCCTTCCTGCCCACATCTTGCTGATGCTGACCGTCAGACACCCTGCTTGGTGTCTGGACCTCAGAGAAGGTGGGATGAGGCTGGGATTCTAGGCTGCTTTTTAGCTTGGCTTAAGGGAGCCTTCCAGAAGCCAGGCTTCTAGAACACACCTCTTCCTGCCACCCTCAGAGGTGAGTGGGCAGAGACAAGGTCTGAACAATCTTTTTTTCTAGCTACTCCTCAATAGATTGTTTTTAAAACGTGAAGACCTGAGGGCAGAGCAGTTGGTGGGCCCCGACTGTAGAGTTCCAGCTAGCTCTTAGGTTAGCCAACCACGTTTGTACTACAATCGCTTGGCATCAGATTTCTCTTGAATGAGTTCCCTGGAGTTGACAATGTGTTGACAACTGGGATTAGAGCAGGGGCACTGGAACCAGTATCTGAGTTCAAGTCCCAGCTCTACCACTACTTAGCTGTGTGACTTGGGGCAAATCACTTCTCACTCTCGGTTCTCTCACCTGTCAATTTTGGCCACAGGGGTAACCACCTCAGGGAATTGTTGGGAGAATCCAACAACTTTTAAAAAATGATCCATTTAGAACCTGGTAAAGAGCAAGCTAATAATACGCTTGGTGCTCATATACAAATACCCTATCCATGAACATTTCTGAACCTCTTGCTTCCTATTAAAAAAAAAAAAAAAAAGAAAGAAAGAAAAGAAAAGAAAAGAAAGAAAAAGAAAGGAAAAAAGAAAGTCTGTGTCTCTAGTGCACTTAGATCCAGGGCTTAAAACTGCAGAGATGCCTTCCTGCCCACATCTGGGGTTTAGATTCTGTAGTCAGAATCTATTCACTGATGCTCCTTAGGGGGTAAGTGTCCTGAAGCTGGGTTGCTCCAACAGAAAGGTTTCCTGTTTTTCTCCTCCTTAATCGTTTGAGTTTGAAGTCAGATCCGCTGACAGCTGAGGCTTCTCCACTTGGGGTGGGGTGAGGGGACCTGTGCCTGTGGAGTAATTGCAGACCAACTCTGAAGCCACTATTTAAGATTACAATGACAGAGCCTCAGTGCCTGGGGGCTCAGCTGTCCTTACGGGGTGTGTGTGTGTGGGGGGGGGGGGGCAGGGGGAGGGGTTCAGGGCATCAAGTGCTTGGTTTGCAGGTTTTGAGTGGCCGCTGCTGATGCTGATTTGGCCACATTCTTGCTGCCTCTTTCCCCTAAAAAGTGCCCAGTGAAAGATTCTGGTCCTGGAGTTCAAGCTGGATTTGCATATGACTCTAAATTCTGTCACTTACCAACTGCAGGATCCTGGTGAATGTCTTTCTCCTTACTGACCCTCCGTTTCCACCTCGGTCCAGTAGGGACTGTACACACTACCTGGCAGGGGACAATGGGCTCCGTGCGTGGGCCACTCAGTCCAGAGCAGGAGCGCCATAAACGCGAGCCTGATTACTAGGCCTCAGGTGGAAGGCCCACTGCCAAGGCCCGGTCTTGAGGAGCACGGAGGCCAGGGCGGTGCAGTGAGAACTCCGCTGCAGGCGGCGGTGGGCAGGTGGAACGCAGGGGACTTTCATGCGGCCGGGCCGGCCCGCTGGGGAGCGTGGGCCAGCCTCCAGCCCAACGCCAGCGCAGGCGCTGCCTCCAGCCCGTGGCCTTGGGCAGCCCCAGGGCTACAGCGGGTCGCAAGGGATCTTGGGGCGGCGGGGCACCGGAAGTCGCTGCCTGAAGTCTTCCCCTAGCAGCGGGCGCCTGCGCACTGGCCGCCGTCGGGGCTACCCGAGGGCTAGGGAGCTGGCAGCCATCGCCTGGGCCTGAGCCAGGGCGCCGCGGGGCCCTACCGCATCCTTGGAGTTCCGTGTGTAGTGGTGCCGAGGGCATACTGGGTGCCAGGCACACTTGTACTACTTCATCTTGCCCCTCGAGGAAAAGAGAGTTCTGAGAGGAAGTGGCGAGCACATAGTAGGTCCATCGAATGGAGAGGGAAGTCAGCGAGGCCCAGCCGAATTCCCCTCTGCCGCCGTCCACAGTCCGGGCCCCCACCGGAACCGGAATCTTCTCTTTCCCCAAAGCCTTGGGGAGCAGCGGCCCGGGGTGGGGAGGGGACCAGAGGCGCCCCCCGCCAGCGGCCCCGGGCCTCCCGGGCGGGGCGGCGAGACTCCATCTGATTTCCAGGAGCGCCGGCTCCAATCGGCCCCGAGCGCTGAAAGAGTTAACCAGGAACGCCTCCCCGCTGTGGTTTTGTGGTCGAAACCATGATTGCCAGGAGCAAATTTTTGTCGTGCACAAGGTGTGTTATTAAAAGTCGGAGTTACGCTGGTGGTGAATGAAAAGTTAAAAGCCCTCATTAAGCCCGGGCTGTAAAACAGGCGGACTGGGCGGAGAGAAAGGCCGAGACAACCCTAACGGCGCTGGCGACCCCGGGCACGGGCTCCGGACACACGCCCGAGGCTTCTGCCACTCTCATTGAGGGCCCCCGACGGGAGCCTGGAGCCAAAAGGGTCTCCGGGAGCCACCCGGAGGAAAAGGAGGGGGAGGAAGGGCCGCAGGGCTGAAGCACAATGAGCATAGTCGGAGCTCTTCCTTGGTGAAAACAAAAACTAACAGTCGTCCCCGTTTATTGAGCGGGGAATCCACCGCAGACAGTGTCCAGGGCTTAATAAATAACATCCTTTCCTTTAACTCTCAATAACCCAATGAGAGGTGGGGAGTAGAAGCGCACTTTTGCAAAGAAGGGGGTTTAGGCTTGCCTCAAGCTTGCCCAGGGTTTCACGGAACAGCTGGGATCTTAATCCAGGGGTCTCAGGATGCTGCCACTCTGCTTGTAACAGATGAATTGGAAAAAGGAGATGTGCCACACTGTTGACTGTGATTATCTCCGAGTGGAGGAAAACAGGTGAATTCTATCTGCTTCCAATTCTTTTTATACGTTGTGTTTTACAAACCTATGTTACTTTTGACATGGGAAGGGGAGGAGAGGAAGTAATTTTTAAAAGAGAAAATTATTGGTGTACCTAAAAACAGTTTTCTTTAAGTGTGGTTCCTGGACCATGGTCGTCATTGTCGTCATCATCATCATCTCATCATTTCCCTGGGAACTTGTTAGAAATGCAAATTATCAGCCCCACCCCAGACCAACTGAATCAGAACCTAGGGGGGGGGGGCAGCGGGGATAGGACTCAGCAATGTGTGTTTTAACAGGCCCTCCAGGTGATTCTGATGCATGTTAAGTGTAAGAACCATTGGCCTAGCCCTACATGAAGACCTGGCAGAGAATTGAGAGGCATGATATTCCCAGGTCCTCCGCTGACCTGCAGTGTAGTTGCTGAGTCAGCAGGCTGAGTACTTGGCTAGTGTTTGAGCTCAGCTCTGCCACTTAGAGACTGGGTGGCATTTGGATGAGCGCCTTCACCTCTAGAAGTGTCAGTTTCTGCATTTATAAAATGACGGTAACAACACCCATCTCCCATGGGCATGTATGAGAATGAAAGGCACAGGGCCTGACCCTATTAAATAACTCTGTTCCTTTCCCTCCCCTTCTCTTCCCTCTCCTTTCTGGAATCCAGCTTTCTGATTTGTAAAATGGAACAAATAATCTTGACTGGCTGCCTCCCTCTCTCTATTCCTTTTGCCTCCTTAAAGGGTCAGGGCAAATGATCTAGTGAAGGTTCTGAAGGAAAATTATCTCACCAATAGTTGGTGTCTTCTCACTGGACCTTGCTAGGAGGTCAGCAAGAACTGGGAACTTTTGAGGGCAGAGACTGGTATATAACTTTGTGTCCCAGTACCCGGCACAGGGCCTGTTATAGTGAATGTTTGTGGAATGAATCAGTGAGTGAATGAATGGAAAGATGAGGCACCCTAGGTTTAGAGGTAGATTTCAACTTCTTTCACAACTTTATCGGACAATAGCAAAAAAAAAAAAAAGAAATTAGACAGGAAACCAAGAGAATAGTGCACAAAAGAAAAACTCCCACAGAAAGAAGAATTTTTCAAAGGGAAAGTGAGTTTCAGATATAATTAGAAAATGGCATATAATTAATCTACGTGCAGCTCAAAGCGTTGGCTGGAGCCTGACCGCCCTCAACTTGCCCACCTTGATCCAGATGATGAAGCTGGCAGTGTTTGTCCCTCTTATCAGGGAATCTCCAAGCATCAGGTCTTCTTCTACCACTAGGGAGAGATGATCCCAT